ATTAAGATATTCAGTTGTCTAAATTAAAAGAATAATTAATAAATGAGAATGAACTATTTGAAAATAAAATATTAAACGAAAAATTAAAGAAGCACGTAAGTTAAAAGTATTTATAGAAAAATTGGATGGATCGATAGAATAAAATCTTTCTATCTTATTAGTAATCAAAGAATTTATTAATATTTGGTCCGTTATACGTTAAATTTAAATTTAATAAAAGTGAAAAATAAAATTATTTAAAGCACTAAAAGACAAATAAAATTGTTGTAAAATTTATTTTATTTTTATCATGCATCTTCATCTAAAATTAACTGACAGCTTTAATCGAAAAATTTTATGCATTTGTTAAGTAATTAATATTGTCAATTTCATATATATATATATATATATATATATATATATATATTATTTACATGTATAATTTTATTTACTATTTTATATACTAATTATCATTATTATTATTATTAGATATTGAATAAAAACAGTTAATTTAAAAGAATCAACGGAGTAAAACCCCTCATTGAATTTTAATAATTTTCTTCATTATTTTATTTACTCGTCAATAATTGTATGCTGTAATATTATTTTTACGCTTAACATTTTAGAAAATAACGTTTTAGTGTAATTATAATTTATAAATATTAATAATTATTTTTAAAATGTATTTTAAAATTAGAAATAGAAGAAGTACAATTTCAATTTATAATAAGAATGAAGTTTAATCTGATTTAAAACGCTAAGCTTATATTAAAATTTAAAAAAAAAATTTTTTATATATTTCTAGAAAATTTTATGAAAAATAAAATATTTAATGACCAACTAAATATTTTAGCTAGTGTGTTTCAAATAAATAAATAAATATATATATATATATATATATATATATATATATAATTTAATTTTACATGCTCGTTCATGAATAATGCAATTGCTTTTTATGGCTAATCCATAAATATCCAATAATAAATAAGTAACAAAAACTATTCATTTTTAATATGAGGAAAGTGCGTGTGTGTGCGTGTGTGTGTTTCTTGCCATTTTCTCACTTTATCTTTACTTTAATTTGTATACTCTGAACCTACAAATATTGATCGGAAACGTTTCATACTCATTGGTATTATATTCTGATGAACTTAACATGAAGCATCTCTTAGTTTATACTATTATTATTTCATCTGTTATTTACGAAGTTTACGGATGTTTTGGCTGGCTCTTTAACAGTTGTAAGGAATGCTTACATTTACTTATAATATAAATCTTTAAAAATGCAATTTTTTAAGAAAGCATGCACTTGATATTGAGATAAAATGATATCTTCATACGATATATATATATATATATATATATATATATATATATATATACTTTCATAAAATAGCAATTGATTTAAAATCTTTTTCTTTTTTTTTCTTCTTTTTTTTTTAAACATTTGCCAACAAATTCGTATCAATTGATAATATAATTTAATAAAATTAAGTCTTACATTCAGCATAAATCATATTTAATTACAATGAAGTATTTATTCAGTATTATAAAATTCTATTATTTTACGTATTATCAATGAAACGTGCAATGTTTTCAAACTCAATTATTCAATTGATGTAATTATGTAAGAAATGCGGAAATTTAACAGAAACTTTAAACTGAACAGCGGCTAGAGCAGGCTTTAAATTGAAATGAAATTAAAATTTTAGGGAATGTGTCATCATGCTGTCGGAAACGAAAGTCACTCTGTAAATGTAAGAGGAAGTCAAATCGCAGTGCGAGCAGTGTTACCCGAGAATTAACAAGAAAAATCGAAACTGCTAGATTAGAATTAGAGAAACAGCATGCGAAGCAATTAGCCGAGACAAAACAAGCAGAAATGAAAAAATTAGAACAACAAAGAAAACTTGCGAATGAAAAACGATTGGAGGAAGAAAGAAGAATACAGGAAAAGCGAGTACTCGAGGAGAAGAAAATACAGGAAAAAAGGAAACTCGAAGAAAAAAAATTAGAGGAATTAAAAATTCAAGAACAAAAAAAAATACAGATTTTAAGAGAGCAAGAAATAAAAAAAATTAATGATCTAAAATTACAGGAGCACCAGAAATTGACATTATTACAGAAACAGAACGAAGAACAAAATAAAAAAAAACAAATTAAAGAAGAAAAGGAGAGAATTAAGGATATGACTAAAAGATATATCGAAGTACTTAAAGCGTTTGAAGATAAAATGTTAAAATTGCATAAACAAGAGATGAATCAATTAAAAAAACAATGGGCGTCTATGAATCAAGTTTCAATTAACACGAACATTAACAATAACTCTCATATTAAAAATATTCAAAATGCTTATAAAAATGTTGTTCTGCAAAAGGTCGATGTTACAAAACAAATTGCGATAGTACATAAAACACGTTTCATTTGCCAAATATTATTCTTTGAGGGAAATGGTAATTCAATATTTCATTTATCTTTTATTTTATTTTCAAATTCACTATTCATTTATCCAATGATTAAAGTAAGATATATTTATCAAACACATTTTCTTAAACTGAAGACGATTTCTTATTAAGTAATAATGAAATTAATAATATGCTAAACTTATCTCTCATCTTATTAAATCCGTGGTTACTAATAGTTTTGATACACTTTTTTTTTTTTTTTTTTTTTTTTTTTTTTTTTTGAAAGATTTTTTTGTAAATTTTTTTTAAAAAAAAAAAAAAAAAAAAAAAAAAAAAAAAAAAGAAGATATTTTTGAAGTTATCACATTAATAATAATTCCTATTCATACCCGTAAATTTATTATTTTAACTTTATCTCAATTTTCTTCTTACCATATATTTAATTTAATTTAATTTCTTAATTCATATAATCTGTTTTTCATTTTTCAGCTGCGTGGAAAAGATATCTTCATTTTTGGAATTACGATGTTTGTATAATTATATTTTAATTACGATGCTTTAATTTATAAACGAATACACGTGCATAAGTAAAGTTATAATCACCATGTCATTAATATTAAATTTAGAAATTTTTACTTAATTTTCAAAATTTACTTCACATTTTAAAGACATTCTAGTAGTTATTTATATATTGCTTCAAATATATTCTATATTTGAATTTTGACTTGGTAATATTCTAAAATTATGAAATAAAGTAATAAAAAATAAAAAAAAAAAAAAAAATTTTAATTACTCCATCACTTCAATAAGTATATCAAAGTCAAAGTTTAATATAAGTTAAATTTTATCTAGAATTAATTAAAAATAACCTAAGGCTTATAATTTCAATTATATTATGCGTGAAAATAATTTGAATCATCAATAACTGTGTGTATTCATAATTTACGAGCAGTTATTTTTATGTAAGAATAACTTCTAGAAATTGTACTTTATTTTCAAATAATTTCAATGAAATACAATGAATAATTAATAATTGCATTATTAAGAAATAATTACTTAAGTAGTTTCACAATAACTATACTATGAATAATCATGTTTATACACCTGTATATAATCAATATGGTGTCCACATCCTTCAAATAATGATTATTGAAAGCATTTTTAATAATACCTACCCTACACATTGCAACATTGTTACTTTTGTAAAATTAAAATAAGCTGTCATCGACATAAAATTCTAAACACTAATTAGTTTACCTAACATTCCAATAATATTAATAATTTCTAATAATGTAATTAAATTTTATAAAATATATGTTATAACAAAAATGTCAAGTGCGTCTGTGTGTTCTGTCTATGAATAAAATATTTTATATGAAATATTTTTAAAAACCACTATTATTCTTTAGTTATATATTTAATGCTGAATCGATGAGTTTTTAATAGTCTATTATCTATAAGAATATTATTTTTTTAATATTACCGATATTCTATAATATATTCTGTAATGTGATCTATGATATTGCAATTATTATCGATGTCAGATGAATAATTTTCAATACATTATCAAGTGAGTAATTAAAGAGAATCCTATCTAATGGACAATAATGATTAATCGAATACACTTGGACGCTGTTTGGAAATGATTAATTGATCTATTATTAGCCAAATGACAATTGCAAGAAAATGGAATCGCTTGACTCGAGTGGAAAAGATGAATTAATAATTTACATTATCCATCTCTATCTAATAAACTTATGAATTAATCCATAAATTATCATTACCAGATTCTTGTGAATCTGGTATGGAAAATTATATGGAAAGTAAAAGCAAAGGTTCTTTTATATTTAAATGCGTTACACTTGAAAGTATTTTTTTTTTTTTAATTTTTTTTTTTGTTTTTTGTTTTTTGTTTTTTGTTTTTTGTTTTTTGTTTTTTGTTTTTTGTTTTTTGTTTTTTGTTTTTTGTTTTTTGTTTTTTGTTTGATTTTGAATATATGTAATAAAATTATATTGAACAAATAATTGACATAATTCTTTAAAACTGAAATGTAAAAAATGATAAATATTTTATAAATTTTTATTTTTTTTATTTTTTTTTTTTTTTTTTTTTTTTTTTTTTTTTTTCAACTTTATACACACAATGATAAGTCATATTATGATTGAAATAATAAATTTTGTCTATAAAGAGAAATCAATTGAAATGACAAATATTTCATATCTAACTATCAATCACTCTTATCAATTAGATTTAAGAATGAAAAGTACTAATAAAATGATAATAAGTAGTATAATAAAACTAATGATTCAAGTGAATCGGTTGAATTGATTAGAACATTGTCGATTGGAAATACACGAAATATTTTAAAAATAAATTTTAAAATTTTGCGCTTTCGATTCGAAAGGACGTGCAGTAGCGGTTAGTACTCGGGTCCGTACGTGAGACCGTAACTTTACGAAATTAGTCTCAGTTGATTGACGATTTGGGATGATAAACGAGAAATAAAGACACAAGTTGTAATAGAAAGTTTTAAAAAAAACTGATTAATATGGAGTATTTTTGTTGTTGTTGCCGTAAATAATAGAAATTGGAAAATAAATGAAAATATCCATTGGCATGTGAGAGAATATTTCATTTGGTCACGTCGAGTAGTTATGAATATTTAAAACGCTCTGATATTTATTGCAAATTCAAAACTAATGTTGTAAAATTTTAGGTAAGTTCCCCTTGACGATTAGGCACAATCCTTTTTATCGCTTTTTACTTCATTTATCATTACGACTCGACACGAGAAATGGATGCGGCGACTATTCCACCACAAAACACTCACCAGTGCCAACGACAAAGATAGTTAGTTATTTCGATTAATTGCATTAAAGAAAGATCGACGTTATTTTTAAGGCTTATCGAAACGGACCTGTGAATCATGATAACATGTACTTGGAGATATGAACTTTATAACCTCACGTCATCATGCAATGTTGCAAATGGTCTCCAATATAATTGTTAATATAAACAAAAAGCTGCGGTTACATTTTCATTGAATATTGTGCGATACGTAAGGTAATATCGAGCAAAAGTAAAATGACTGAAGTATATAATTTAGGGCTTGATGCTGTCACTTGTCATGTTTGGAATGAAAAACACACTGAAATTGCATTGTGTCCCAATAATAACGAAGTTTATGTTTATAAACAAGATGCAGCGAGCTGGAAGCTTTCGGAAATTTTACAAGAGCACGATCAGCGCATCATGGGTATCGATTGGGCACCGAAAACAAATCGCATAGTAACCTGTGCCGCTGACAAGACTGCATATGTTTGGTCGCAGAATACAGAAGGGAAATGGATACCATCTTGGGTACTATTAAGAACTAATCGAGCAGCCACTTGTGTTAAATGGTCACCAAACGAGGACAAATTGGCTGTAGGATCTGGCGATAGAGTTATCTCGGTATGCTATTTTGCATCGGAAAATAATTGGTGGGTGTCCAAGCATATAAAAAAACCTCTGCGATCCACCGTAACTGCTATCGACTGGCACCCTGATAATAAAGTGCTCGCCGCTGGATCGACTGATTATAAAATAAGAGTGTTCAGTGCATACGTACGAGATATCGATAATTTGAATAATAATGAAAGTTCATGGGGAAACAGTACGATTCTTGGAACGCTTTTTGCTGAATTTTTTAGCTCTGGTAACGGAGGCGGTTGGGTACACGATGTGGCATTTAGCCCATGCGGGACCAAGCTCTGCTGGGTTGGTCACAACTCGTCGATATGCATCGCTGATTCTTTAAAAGGGAACGTTGTCAATCGACTCTTTACCGAATATTTACCTTTTCTCCGATGTGTTTGGCTCGATTGTAATTTCATTATTACAGCTGGCCATGATTGTATGCCAATGGTCTATAAAGTAGACGAATCTGGTAAACTAAGCTTTGCTACGAAACTCGATAATACTCAAAAAAAGGAAGCTGCTGGTTTAACAGCAATGAGGAAATTTCAATCACTCGATAGACAAGCAAGAACGGAAATTAACGATAGCGCCGTCGACAGTATACATCAAAATACAATTACATGCATACGTAAGCTATCTAAATCAAGATTCAGCACAAGTAGTCTCGATGGACTTTTAGTCGTATGGGATATTAAGACTCCGGAATTAATGATGAATTCATTGAGGATCAATTGATTTTAATTACTTACAAACAATAATAAAATGATGTTCAGGTAGAATTATTTCATTATTAAGTAAATTATAATACATGAATTTACTAAACTGTCTTATAAGTTTCTCACATTCAATAACATTTGTTTAAAAATTATTATTATTATTATTATTATTATTATTATTATTATTATTCTCCATCGATAAGCTACGTTTACAGTATTCAGATGCAACATATTGTTTTATAGATGTTAATATGTGCTGTTCTTATATGTTATATTAATCTTTTGTATAAATACTTAAGCTCATGAATAAAAATAAATTTAAAATCCAACGTATCTAATATTTCACTCTATAAATTATTTAAACTAATGTTGTTGTTATCATTATTTTTCATATGCTACTTATTGGATTGTTTCAATTATTTAGGGCTCATCATAAAACTAAGAGAATAAAATGGTGAAAAGTTACAATTAACGAATAAAGTAAATTAATGTTAACTTCAACATTTATATATATATATATAATACATATAATAAATAATACATATATACAAATATCTCATTAACTTGTACTATACCCAAAAATTATTTCTAAACCCTTCTATCCCCAAAATGCATATTAGCTATAATTATGTTTATGTAAATTTAACAATCTTATTGTACAATATTTAATGCATGTCAATTGTCCCAAAATTAGTTATCACGCGTATAAAATTCAATAGATTCTATGTATTACATACAAACAATTACTATACCATACAATCAAATATCTAAGTACAATATCTTTTTCCATTTTAAAATTGTTAAAAAAATTAAAGCAAAATTATATTGCGCAGTAGTGTATTGACAAATGCTCAATAATTATATCATATTTTAAGAAATAATTATAATTAAGATATTAAATAAAATATAAGTTGAGCTATTCAAAAATTAAATCATAAAAAGTCATTATCAATAAAAATATATATCAAAAAAATAAATAAGAATTCATCAACTTTCAAGAATTTTGTTTATTTCTTTATTTATACACGTTTACTCCTTTTCACTTCTTTAACTTGAAGACCTAAAAAAGGTATATATAATTCATTAAAATATAGACTTAAATCATTTCTTTAGAAAATATTATAATATTAATTTAACTGACCAGGAGGAAGCGATTGCTTCAACTTTTCCGCCTTTTCTTTGTCGATAATAACAAGAGTGTACAAAAATCTAGCACATCGTACCTTGAATTTGACATTAAATGCATTTTCCTTTATTTTAACAGCTGAAAATAGAAAATACATGTAATTTATCTTAAAGACAAAAATCAATTTCAAAGTTTATTATACGTTGTAGAATAAAATATAATATATTATTTATTTATTAATTATTTATTATATAATAAATATATTATTTAAAAGTTTAATTTTTTAAAGCATATAATAAATAAAAAGAACATAAGTAATGATAGTATTTATATATATATATATATATATATATATATATATAAATGTATAATGATTTAAAATTACTCTTATATCGATATAATTGATAAAAATCATTTTATTTTATATTATCGAATTAGGTAGTGGATATAACAATTTTTATAATTAATCTCTTATTTATTCATTTTTTCAAAAATTTATTTTATCAATCAATGGTATTATTGTTAATGAAGATTATTACATGTAATTTAATTTAAAATTGTTATTGTCATACAAGTGTGAGAAAAGTACTAAAACATTATTGTAAAATTATCTCTCTCTCTCTCTCTCGCCTAATAATTCATTCATTCATTATTCACAGAAAATGTTATACATTAGCAAACAAGAGATAACGAAAATAAACATATATTTACGTTGCACATTATATTATGTATTTTTATATATTGTTCTATGGTTTTGTAATTAAAAGTGCATTATTATAATTATACTTGATCAGAAAGCTTAATTAATTATCGATACTTACATTTAGCATCTTTCCTTCGAGCCTTCAAGAGAAAGTCCTTGATTTCTTTAATTTCCCTAGGCTGTTAAAAAGTAAAATCGTATTGTTAAACAACGTTAATTTATGACAATAATTATAATACGTTTAAGCCACGATGTAAAAGACTTGTAACATTTTCACCTTGCGTATCGAATTTAAGGTTATGTTATTAAAGAATTTCTATTATAAAATTAGTAAAAACAAACGAAATAATAACATAAAATGCTTATAATAATTCGTGAATGAAATTAAAACTTGCTGTCGAAAGCTAATAAAATAATAAATAAAGCTTACCATTTTGTATTTAAAATGCAATAGAATATTGGACCTGAAACAAAAGAAAAATATACTTTTTCTAGAGACGTTATTAGGAAATGTAACTTTTAGCCGTATTGAGAGAAATTTTTAACAATTACTAACAATCGTCGATTTATGCAAAATCACAGGATTTCACAGATATAAATGGAATAAACAATAAATTTAATCCTATACACCTACCTTACGTTCCACGTCTATTTGCATAAGAACGAGCGCCACCTATGATGAAATAATCTTACTTACTTTAAATCCGTTTTTCACTCATCCATGTAACAAAAACTTCCTCTCAATAAATAATATAAGCATTCGTATTGAATTTTACATGAACAAAATAATTTGTAATTGTGAATATACGTGACTTTTGATAGATTATATAATTTAACAGAATAATATGTGAAATCGCTTTAAATATCGCTATAAATATAAAGTGAGCTTTTAAAAAACAATTCGTGCAAGTTCCGTGCGAAAGTGTGATAATTGATAATCGAAGCAAATTTATTTCAAGAGATGCCTTTTATATGAAAAGAAGAGAGATGAGATGAAATTTTATGATATTTTTTTCTTACCTCGATTAAATGTCTGTTCTTGCTTGTATCGGAATTCTTCTTATGTCAAAGGGGAATTAGAATATGAGAGTTTCGTTTGGATTAGCCGGACTCTGCGGGGAAGCCAAGTACCTAGTGAAAACGGTTTAAAGCTTATTGTAAGCTTATAAATCTGTAATCATTTTCTTGTGATTATTATTTCATGTAGATAAATGCATGAGAGAGCCAATAAGCTTGAGTCTTCAATGGGTATGTATCGGATTTGTTGATGCAAGCATTCAATATTAGGAGATTTGATTTATCATTTAATCGTCATTGGGAATGTAAATTGTGGATTTTCAACGTCCACTAATTGATCGACGAGATATTTATTCCATCGAGCGAGCATATAATCGTAAGCATCAATTATATTAATCCTTGAACCGATAAGTTTTAATGAAATGGATAAATATAGTTAAATTTATTTATGTATGATTAATTTATGAATGTCCATTGGATGCTCCAAAGCCAATATACATAATTTATTAAAGCGACAGTAGTAGACGATTTAATCGAGATATGCATTCAACATTCGAAAAATGGTCGATAATGTAATTTGAAAAAAGACTTCATTTTACGTTATTAAACTTGTAAAGTAAATTATTCAAATAAATTTGACACGTTTAAGCTTGTAAAGTGTAAGTAAATATTTTTAAAAAACTAAGCATTATAAATTGTGTGAAAATATATAGATTTCGATATTCAAGAAGTACAAGTGAATTATTAACATAATTTTCAATTTATTAGTAAATTATAATAATTATAAATGAAAATTAGTGTTCGAGTTTTTTTTTTTTTTTATTTATTTTTTTTTTTTTTTTTTTTTTTTTTTTTTTTGTCATAAATACTTTAATAAATACGAAACGAAAAAACAATGTGAAAAAATAAAAATTTTCATAAAATAATTAATACCTAAAAACAAATTATATTTTATAGCACGAAAAATGTATTTTATAATGACTATAAAACACAATGAGGATCGATTAAAATACTAAAAAGAAATTAATAACTGCATAGCATTTATTTCGCATTTAACAATAATGGAACAACGATCAAATATATATTTGAAGAATATTAATGATAGAAGGCTACATTCCTCGAATAAAAAAATCTAAATGAAATGAATGTAATAATATAATGTTGTGATGTTTATATGATTGCTTTTTATTTTCGCAAAGCAATAAAAATTCGTATAGCTGTAAAAGTAATTTAAGCTTCAATTTCATATTAACACTTGTAATAACTTAACTCCAATTTTTCGTACAATACAACGAATGAAAATATTATTTACATTAAGGAATTATTGATTTACATTTCTCTCAGCTCTTTCATTCTTTCTTGCAATGCATATATCGACGATCACACGAACGACAAAAAAGTATAAAAGCTCAAAAGCACTTATAAGACTGAATCCAACGGAAAGGCCCAACAGGCCACCGAATGACGCTGCAACACACAATACAGATATAATTACACAATTTTTAATTATTATACTCTATTATTATATTCATAATTATTTGTAAAATATTGCAAACCAAAGAAGTTTTTCCAATTGTAATACACCTCTCGACGATACTGCGTAGATATAAAGTCAACGTAAAAAATATTAACGACGCTATAATTTTTAAGACTACTAGATTCTCTGTAACATTAATATAAAAATAATTTATTAAAACTTTTTATTATTTAGTTATTATTACGCGTTTTTTTTTTCTTATGCTTTAATATATATATATATATATATATATGAGCAATTGTTTTTAAGAAGAAAAAAAAATCTAGCAAAATGCTAAAATAAAGCAACTTAACCGTTTATTCTATAATTAGTAAATATATAGCTAAAAGCTATTCAGTAATCGTAGCTAAATGTATCATCAATGTTATTTTTTAATTTACAAACAAAAAGAAAAAAAAAGAAAAGAAAAGACAAACAAAGAAGAAAAAAAACAATGAGAGGAGGGAAACAGTTTGAAATATTCATATCGTTAAAATTTATTTATCGATAATATGATTATAATCCTTAGTGCAAGGCTTATTTATTAGTTATTATACATATAACATTATACAGGCGTATGTAACACGTATAGGTATGTTTTTTTTTTTTTTTTTTTTTAAGACTTTCAACAATTTCATTTCTTCATTTAACAATAATAGTTATACGTTACAAAGCTATCGAAGTAATCTTTGATTAAATGCTTAAAGCTATTATTCTGTGCGCATTGGAATTTACTTTCAACGAAATATTTTTGTATAATCGTTGGGAAAGACGAAAGAATTCCTCATTAATTTAATAATATTCTACTTACTTAATCCTGTCCCCGTAAAATTGCTCTGTGTCTATAATACCTTCGGAAGCATCGACAGGGTAACGATAAATCGAGCAATCAAATAGACAGCCACAAGGTTTTCGTCGTATATCAATGTCAACGGTCGTTAGATCCGCGTGATTTACATTGATACCTGGCCAAGATGTATCGATCAAAGCTGGCAACATTAATATTGGGAGCGTTTATTTTGTGCAAATATAAAAATAACATGAAACGTTGAAGTAATTTGTTTCTTTATGTTACATTTTATGTCGGATAAACATCTTATATCCCTCAGGTTACATTCTCTCGACCCTATAAATAAATTTTCATTTAATAAATTTACATTTCAATTATTTATTTTCTAATCTATTCTATTATTCGTGAAAATTTTTCAACATCGTATCAACGATAATTTATTTATTTTTACAAGCGGAGGTCATGGATCTATCTATCATAAGGCCTTTTAAAGTGAAGTTAAAAAGCAAATATCCATTCGAGTTTTTAAACTATTTGTTTGATTTCTTCATTATTCTTAAACATATCAATTGGCTGCGTAAAATAATGTTTGATAGCAAAATTGTTGAATGCCTTTTCAATTATATTGAACATTGGCGTGGAATTCTTTTACATTCTTTAAATACAAATATGAAAGTCTATGCATTAATGTGAATTTACGATCAAAGCATTTATTTTATTTATTTATTTTTTTTTTTTTTTTTTTTTTTTTTTTTTTTTTTTTTTTTTTTTTTTTTTGTTAGAAAAATATGCGAGTTTCGGTGGTAAAAAGAAAAAAAAATAAATAAAAAAATTGACAAATGTAACTTACTGTTTTGTGGACTATAATAAGGAAAGCATCCACATTCATTTTCAATTATACTTATCCTGCACCGGTTTAAACAATTTACATAGGAGTAATTTGCACGTTGACCAACAGTTCTCATTAATACTTGCAATTCCTTTGGTAAAATTTCATCTTCGAAAATACATTGTCGCGCGCTTAATGGCAAATTCTTCACCGCTGCTGTAGAATATACTTCCTGTGGCGCTATGGCTAAAAAGGATTGCACCCCCAAGCCAATCAATTTATATTCGGAACTACGATCTGGATAATTGTACGGATAATGAATCATCACCTATAATATACATTTTTTTGTTTTGTTTTGTTTTGTTTTTTGTTTTTGTTGATGGTTGTTTGTTCGAGTAATGAACAAGTACTTCAATTCCTTCCTAATACAATCGGATATTTAAAATTTTTTTTTTTTTGTAAATAAACACTAGTTACAATAAATCTGCTCACTTGAAGCTTTTTTAACCTACGCGTATGCCTAGGTTCGACTTTTTAATGGATTATTACTTCATGATACAATGATCTTATGCTTTGTAAATTATGGATCTTGTAGTGGCAGGCATATAAGGGCTCATAATTATAAGAAAGTTTCATTCTCAAAATACGAAATATGTTTACATAGAAATAGCTATTATGTATAAAGTAAGTTATAAAATTATTACCTTCACCCCGTAAGAACCGTATAGACTCGAATAATAATCATCTGGTTCGGCGTCAATTAAAACTGTCAGACCCGTTTGATAACCGCAAGCGGTAAGTCTCTTGGGCACGCTAAAAACAAACTGTCACTTTATTAAAAAAAAAAAAAGAATAAATATTCAATCCCTCCATTAATATTCAATGCTTCAACGAACGTTTTTGCTTCAATTGTACTTTCGGAATTGAAATAGTTGAAACTGCAGCATAAGCCATCACGAGAATAACTTTCATGAAATATCTCGTGACAAGGTACATAAGTCCCCTTCCACTTGCAGCTCTTCAAAAGATTAGAACAATCTTGCCTTACCTGTGCCGGAATATTTATTCTTTAAATCTGTAGCTCATTGTAATAAATTAAATTATCACATTTCATTGAACTATATAATTTTTTTCACTAATGTATAATTTATATTAATAAAAAAAATGGTAAAAAAAAAAAAAAAAAAAAAAAAAAAAAAAGTAATTCAATCGTTCATTTTATTATTTTTCTAATATATGAGCATACAATGTGGACATAAGCAGTGTCGTGAAGAGTATTTTAATTCATTTCCATTAATAATCAATCGATCATATGACCAAATATTGAATCCATTCTTACATAACTAAATTGATAAGAATTCTCTGATATTCATAAAAATAATTTACGTACTAGTCTTAATAGTTATTATGAAAATAAAATAAACGCAATAGCAATAGCATAGGAAAAGCATTTAAATTTTAATGGTAATTATAAATTTTATTCCTTTACCAAGTTTTTATTTTACCAAGTCTTGATAAACTATTAATGAAATATCTTTAAGCGAATGAACAAATGTAAATGTAAAAATACTTATTTATACAAAAATTTTAATTATTATTTTAATTGATAATGCTTATGGAGCCTCGTTTTTTCATTTTCTTTATCATAAATCTTAGTTAAACATATTTTGTAAATACCTAAATAAGAAATAAGAATCTTTATGCATGTGAAAATAAAGCGTTATAATTTTTATTTCCAAATTTTTTAAATATATATTTCATAAGCTGAAGCTTGTAATTAAACAGATAACTTATTAAAATAATTAATAGAATATATTGTTTATTATTTTTATTGACTATTTTGATTGATGAAATGTTGTCTTAAAGATTACGCGGAAAATAAATGATAAATAATTGAATAATTACCAAACTCATTATATGAGAGATGGAATAATTATTAACATCAAAAATATCTTGAAGTACTGTAAAATTTGAATCTAGATCATCTTCGAAAATATCAGGATCCAACATTTCAAGAAGAAGCTTCATTTCGTCCAAAATGAATTCTCGTGATAAATTATTGACTATTGTACTATTAAAATAGGGAAAAAAATTTTCATTTATATCATTGAATCATTGGTGCATCGATTTAATCAAATTCAGAAAAAAAAGTTCAGTCCAATTTTTGATTAATTGCAAAATTTCTTCAATTTCTTTATTACAGCAAGAATGTAAAATATTGAAAAATAAAAAATTCTTGTTGTTATTACTATAATCAATCCATTTATTAAATATTTAAATAAATTTTTTAATATCTAAGTAATGTTATATTATTAGAATTCATTCAATACGTTAATTAATACGTTAATTAATCCCAATATCATAATCATTTAATAATTGAGCTTACTTCAGCACTTCGTAATATCAAACTGAACTTTTTTCTAAAACAATCAAGCCTAAAGCTGTAAATAAGGCAAAGTGTTATTCACAGATTTTTAACAAACTCTTGTACTTTTCTCGATGAAATTTGATTGTTATTGCAAAATGTTACAGCCGGAAATGGATAATTCCATATACCATGGTGCATTGTCGCAATTACAGTCAGTGTTGAATATGCTGAATTATATTTCCAAACTGCTCGCAAAAATCCCACAGAACAGCATAAACACGTGACGACTATAATTCCCCATATCAATCTAACAGAAAAATTAATAAAAAAGAAATGCATCTCTCGCCATCTGTGCTCAAGTACATTTTACAATGATAAATGTTATGATCAAATTATGATCAAATAATAATTTTCCCTATTTTATGTTTGAAGAAATTTGCTTAAGAGTATCAAACAATTTTACAAATAATAATATAAATTATTAGCATTATAAATGACTAAAATTATAACGAAATCACTAATAAAATTACTTGATGATAATAATTATATTTGAAATAATAATAATAATAATAATATCTGTTGTTGTTGTTGTTGTTGTTGTTATAAATATTTTAAATTCTTGTGAATATAAATTTTAGTTTAATATTTCTAAATTTTTTTATAACAAAGAACGTTAGAATTTGCTATTTTCGTTATATTATTATTAAATTCATGTTGTAATATTATTGATAGTTGAAAAAGTAAAATTTATATATTATTGTTGAGAAAAAGTTATGGAAGGAATCTCCATTGAAGTATTAATGGAAAATAAAAACCAATTTTACATTGTTAACATTGCTTTTATACATTTTCTTATAATCTACATGCTCCCTTAAAAGTAGAAAAACATGCTTATTTAATCTGAACGATTATTACGTTTATTAATATGACCATTATTAATGTAAAAGAAAGCTATTATGTAATTTTGATGACCTATTAATTGAAAAAGTAATGAATAACGATAAAAGCAATTGCGACAATTTACACTCGCAAATTTCATATTTACATATTTATAAATGTATTCGTAAGCAATGATATTGAAAAGTTTATTCATGTAATTAAAATACTTATGTGTACCGCTCAGCTTTGGTTCGATTGGCTTGTACGATATATCTATAACCGTGTAAACCTGTTGCCAAACAAAATTCTACCGCCTGAGTTTTCATAATGCTTAACCAATTTTTAAATTTTTTCTTCCTATGTATTGTTATAGAATTCTCCACTACCGTCATATTTAAAAATTTTGTCGAATACTTTGATATCTATAATTTATTGCATTTACAGTAAATAAAAGAAAATTAAATAAATTATTTATTAATAATGATTAGAATTTGGAATTTTAATGTAATTTGTTGTAACTCTTTCAACTTGTCAGCAAACTTTTGCTACAATAAGCACTAATTTATGTTTCAAAATTTGGTGCTGATTTGATTGCTATTCTGAATGTTAGTTTTATTTTTAATATAAAACTGATCGAGTGTGATAAATATGACTGATTTAGTATTACAAATAAGCTATCAGATTATTTATGACGTATTGAATAATTGTTTAGTACGTATGTGTTTGCTTATAAAATATTCAACGAATAGTTCTCTCGTGTGTATGCTTCTTTTCATAGTATATATACTATGAAAAGCCGCCAAGGACACATTTATTATTCTTGATTATAATCTAAACGTAATTATGCGATATAGAGCATCGATTATAAGTTTACTATTCAGAATCCCTTGCATTAGTTTAATAAATTTATTCCAGCTGAATAAACTTAATAACGTACTTTTTTTCTATAAACACAATTATCGTCCTTATTATGGTTACATAATGATTCCTTATTATACCAAATATATAGATTTGTACTTTTTTAATTTCACTTTTTTCGTTTCATGCATTAGTATTGATAAAAACAAACTGTCACTTTATTATATATATATATATATATATATATATACATATATATTTCATTTTTTAATAATTTCATATTATACATAAACATACTCTTGCTTGTTATTATATTTACTTTTTTTTATCCCCAAAAATTTTATGGTGTTTTAACAAAAAAGAAAATTTTTTTATAAAATTTTTTTTTTTTTTTTTTTTTTTTTTTTGTATATTCTAAAACGCCGTCGTTATAAATTCAATATAAATATTCTATAAACATATGATAAATTATGCAAATTTTTATTGAATTTTTCTATAATACGTATAAAAGTAGGGATCTTGACGTATAAAAATGAAAATATTTTTTCTTTATTCAGCTTTAATTTTAAAAATAATTAATACATGTAATACAGATGGAATAGAAACCGATGAAATAATAAAAATTAATTACAAATTTGAAAAAAATTTTAATGTCATTTATTATTTATAATGATATTGTGTATTAGAGTAATGCGATGGAATGTGCCAAAATGCAGATCATAATTATCGATCAAATAGGTATAATGTCAACAATAAATAACAATACGTAATGAGAATATTGATTTTTTTTCTCTGCATCCGAGAGCCTTATAACTAACAAAGTGCAGTTGCCATCTTTTCCCTCTTCCTTTTCCTCTTTTCTATCGCGATATTTCATATATTGAATTGCAGTCTATTATGAATATAATAAACATTACATTTATTCTATTGATAAATAAAAACTTTCGAGTATGCATTTAATGAGTATACACATTAATATTTTACTTTAAGCTCAACAAAATTACATTCAATTGGAATGTCATTGAAGTAAGATAATAATTAGCATTATAATACTAATGGACCATCTTATAAATATTACATCTGATTGTCAGTCATTAGAACTTAATTTAAAAGTCAAAACAAAAATAGTATTATAATTTGAAATACTATTAATAATGTGTAAATGTGTGGAATCCGAGCAATTGTCGTCGGAATGACAGTGAGAGGTAGAGATGGATGGGTGAGACAGAGAAGAGGGAGAAATTTGCTTATTAAAAAATGAATATGATATATTAGACTTGAAGTTACTTTATTCTGCAATTCATAACAAATGTTTGCTTAACCAATGGCCTCGATAAAAACTAATTTTAACGGTAATCATGCAATCGGATGTCAAAAGTATTTATTAAGTAATTCCAGGCATCTGGGATATTACATCACCAAGCTTCTTGCGTTAAAAAAGAAAAAAAACAAATTAATACACGAAACTTAAATAAATTTAAAGTATAAAGTAATTTCAAGCTCGATGAAGCAGATTATTGAAATAAAAAACTATATTCTTCCGTTAGCCATACTATTTTTCATAAATAAATTTATTTTAAATTCGCATCCACACATTTTATTTATGGAACCAATTTTTATGCAAACAATAAACATTTTTTACTTTGCCAATAAAACGTTTTTTATGGATTTCAAAAGATGTGAAAATCTATTTCAGTAATTATTCTTTTGTTTTCATTGAATTTCTCCTAAAATTGATGTAACTTTTGTGGCCCCAAAGTGGCTCGGCTCCTCGAATCAAATACATTTATAAATTTATAAATACACATTTATATATAATTTTTATAATATATCAGCTGCGCTTCTTCTCAAATTGATGTCTTAAGTACTTTAATCCAGCTTCAACTTGACACGCAATGTTTTCATAAACTTTTGTATCTGTAAAAGAACAATTAAAGTTTAAATAATTGTTATAAGTGATAATAATTCTATAGCGTTAAAGCGATGGTTTAGCTTTTATTTTTATTTATTAACAGATAACCTATTATTGTAATGACGACAATGGAAATAAATTTGAAATATTACTGAATATATATTTATATAATATATGTACGAATTCATAACGGCATTGAAATGCTACATAAAGTATGTACGTTGTTTTCATATATTACTTCTTTTTTTTTTCACTTTCATACAATTTTAATTCGTTTATGTATAAAATCAGTCGAATTTGTTTAATAATATTAAATAGTAAATAGTAAACAAACCTTTGGGACTTTGAGAACTAGTTTCCTTGGTAATAGTTGATTGCTGAAATATTGGCTCTACACTAGGTGTATCATCCTTAACCAGTGATACTCGATCGACACAAAAATCACCTACGTGTGGAGGTATTGACTCAACAGTAGACGATTCGTTATCCAATGTATCGTTTGAATTTTTTGAATCTGCAAAGTCACTTGTCTGATTTGCTCCTTCGGTTAAATCGGGAGATTTTTTACTTTCAAAATTATTATATATCGGTCCAAATTCTTTTGTTCTTTCTTTTCTTTTCTTATGAACCCATTCCTCCTGTGACATAACATACCAACGATTTCTTTTACCCAATAATTGTCCAAATGCTTCAATTTTGTTTTCAATATCAGCGAGATTACTTTTGGCAATTTCTTGTTTCATCTTTTGTTCGTTATTATGCGTTTCGTTACTCTGATTACAACTACTAATCTCATTAGTTTGCACACCACTATTGATTTCATTGTTTTGCACACAATTACTAATTTCGTTACTTTGTTCGTTCTGATTTTCATTTTCGATATTGATCTCAATATTTTCTATTTTATTCTGTTCAGATTTCTTTAAAAGAATTTCTTCTTCTGCTTCTTTATCGGACAACCCTAGTCTCATCCTTTGTCTCAATCGTGCAGCCCTTAATCTATTTTGTTGTAGCTTATCTTTTATATTACGAATCTCTTGGTTTTCCTGCTGCTTTTCCTCGGTTTCCTTTCTTAATTTTGATAAATTTTCTTGCTGCTTCGCTCTCTCCTCTTCATCTTGTGAGAAAGCATAATATCCCACACCGTGTGTCCTCGCTTCGTCGAAAAGAACATCTTCGTAATGAATATTAACTTTGTTAGATAATTTTTCAGTTTGCTCTTCCCATTTCTTTCTCATCATTTCTAGCTCCGGCTCTTTATTCGGTAATTTATCGTCTATGTACATTGATCGTCCCGTTTCTTCCTGTGGCTTATCGTTAATCTTTTTCCTTATAAAATCATCCTTTTCTTGCATTTTTGGCAAATCTTCGGGTAAGCATTTTCTTGTACGTCCAAAACAATCAGTATACTCCACCCATTCACCATCGGAATCATAATCACTTTTGCAATCATTATCCAACGTTTTACGTTCCGTCTCCAAATAGTTTGTATCATCTGATTTGTTTTGAAAATCCACGAGAAAATTTGGATTCAAGTTTGTATGAGTTTTGGACAATGTGTCATACAATCTCGACTTTGCTTGCAGCATGAGCTTCGATTTCTGCAAAGTTTTTGCATCTTCGCTATCTTCTGCTTCTTCCGTTTCTTCATTATCTTCAAATTTCCTGGCTTTCCGCTTTTCATTCGATGCTTTATCTTTAATTTTCGCTTTACTAATCAATTTAATATTTTCGAATCCTTTTTTCGCTGCTTCGACTTCTGATTGTTTACGAAGTAATTCGGCCTTTAAACCAACCAAAGAAGAATAGTGAACATTGATTTTACTTTCAGCATTCATCTTATTAATACATTGATATTAACATTTTCAAAATACATTCGTAACAAATTCCGTTACATTTATAATTAATATATACAGCCAAGTAATAATAACAACTGCGTCGACAATGACACTATTTTAAACAATATAACCAAATAATTAATAAAAACATCATGTATTAGGAGGCGTAAACTAACCTTATCCCAAGTTAGTTAGGTATATACCTAAAAATAATAAACTAAAAGTTCAAAGTCGAGCGACTCTTACCAACAACTGACATTGGCACTGCGTAGTTTTTCAAATTGGTCAGGTGGGAAAACTTTACAGGTCTGGTTTTCATATTATCAAGTAGTGTGGAATGTGCGGAATCGTGTGTCCGCGAATTTCAATTAAAGTAAAAGAAACCGAGCGACATAAAAATCAATTCATAATTTGTAAATAACGATTGCTTTTGTTTACGAGTTTTTAATTAATAATTTGACGCGTACGCGTGGCTTGTCGAAATTGAGAAAATTAGATATTGAAATAAAGCATATTATTAAAAAATATTTATATAAATAAAGCTACATTTGCATTTGTTAAAAATTCGTCGATAGTTGCACGGATAAATATTAATTCGTGAATTTAATTAATCATGATAAAAATAGCTTTGGTATTAAGTATTAATATAAATCTCAAAATATGTCCATAAACAATTTCGGTGAAATTTTACATTTAAATTATATTTATATTCGTATTGTATTCGTTACTGCAAGCTGATGAGCGGGAATAGAGGAAAATTGAGTTGAGAAGAAAACTATATTATCACTACGTTATAAGAATGAAAATTTATCCAATTTATAGTATAAATTAAACTATGATTGTTTAGCGTAATATGTGGACAATAATATATAAGATAAAAATAAAAATAATTCATCGTGTTGGACCGTGATCCTTATATGAAAACGAGATAAATTGTTCTGATTAAACCGCGCTATTATTATAAAAAGCCGAAAATATAAATTTAAAATAATAAAAAAACTGTAAAAATTAAACTAAGCAATAATTTGTTAAGTTATGAAATTTTTTACGGTTAAATATATATATATATATATATATATATATATTTTTTTTTTTAATTTTTTTCTTATATAAAACATAAATTCGGTACGATTTGTGTTTATCTGTAATTTTAGAAAATTTACAAATTGTCGAAATATTAATTTAATCGGGGTGCTAAAGATACATACAAACAATATCGATTTAGTGCGCAATATATCATTTATTTCATTCTATTGAAAATTTTACGAATTAAAAAAGGCTTTTATTTCGTGGCATATTAACAGTTGTTGTGCATTTAGTTTACAAAAAAATATGGAAGTTATTATTATTATTATTATTATTATTATTATTATTATTAATATTACATGGGTAACATTAAAAACTATATAAATATAATATCACGTAAAATAGCTTTCGTATAGATATAGTTATTTACAAAGAAATTATAAAATTGTAAAAATGCAATAATACTTAATAGTTAATCGAATCACAGCTAAATAGCTTAAGACTTTGATATTTTTACCTAAATTATCTTTTAAGCCATTACTTATTTAAGTTATTATAATTTCACTACTCTCTGTCGCTATATAACTAAGTTATATCTATGTCTTGTGCGGTCTCTGATTTTTTAATTGAAATATCTATAAATAAAATACTTTGAGCAAATATTCTTAACGTCTGCAAAAAATGAGAGCAATGATTATTTTTTGCATTATATGGAATATCTTTGATCGATATTCTTTTGTTTGAATAGCTGAATTTTAATAAAATCAGATGTTTCCTTTGGAAAAAATCTCTCCGTCAATAATTCATATTGCTCCAATGTTATATTATTCATTATATTAACACAGTTTTGCTTAATTTTACTTTTCAATTCTTTTATTTTATGCCTTTTATTTTGCAAAACTTTTTTTAATCTTCTTTTATTTAATTTATATTTTAAAAAGCTAAATTCAGTTTGAGTAGTTTCATCTAATTTATTTTCTATAAAATTAATTTCTGTTTGGATAATTTTTTCCACTTTATCATCCGGCGATTGGGACTTAATTTGATTGACTTCTAATTTATCTTTGAAGATTTTTGTATCTGTTTGTGTCGTCGCCTCTATTGTTCTAACCGTATTTGATGTATTATTCATTATTGACGATTCATCGTCTCCTTCCAAAATACTCTCGGGTATCTTATTTATACACAGAGTCTTGTCATCGGCATTCATAAACGACAATTCGCTTATATCAATGGCAGATAATTCAATATCTGGTGCATTGATCATAGACGTAGGCAGAGTATCCGTAAGATCCTCGTAACTCAGAGCTTCGATAGAGAAACTATTTGTATTATCATTATCCATATCAATTGTCATTGTATTATCGCCAATATTAATCACATTATTAGTCACAGTCTTGGTACTCGAATAAATATGGTCGGATAAATTTGAGCTTTGTACATAATCTTTGGTTGCTTTGACGGTAGACACGGGTTCCTGTATACAAATGCCCGTCGCTTTAAAAAATTCATCCGCAGATATTTTCTCTGAAAAGTAAATAAAATAAACAAAACTATTCGTTAAACATTGCTTTAACAATATAAATCTAATATGACTATAATTTTGTCGATAATTTTGTCAATTTAATTTATCTTATGGATATTATACTCTATATTATAAAATATAAGTAGCCTATTAACGTTTATATGTTTTATTCTAATGCCATTAGCGTTTACACACATTTCTATCGCAATGAATCAAGCATTATAATGGAGACAATGGAAACGCTTGACAATGAATGATATAACACAATATTAATAACGAAAGAGTCTAATTATTAAGCCAAATATTTTTAAGCACTCACGCAATATACAGTTGCTCAAAATTTTTGCAATAGGATCCTGAGCCTCTAAAAACTCGTCCTTCTTCTTCTCACTGTCAATCGAATCGTTGGAATCCTCTTGCCAATCTACCTGCATCGGAACAGAATTGGGCTGCAGTCTATTTCTCAAATCATTCAGAAACATCGAATCGCTAAAGTGCTTTGCACACACCCTGTAGCTATTGAAAAGCTCGATAGGTGTCTTTTCCAAAAGATCATTGCGCTCGCAGGCCTGAACCCACTGCTTCGACCTAAGAGAGCATAATATAAAAAAGAATCCTTTATCAATCAATGGCCATGACATTCAACAACCAAGAAGACGCCTAAACCCATCGTTTAACTTATCAAGACAGACCTCTCTGGATCTTTAGGAAAGCGGAAGAAGCTTCTCTTATCCCGTCGAGATAATCCTCGGCAATTCTTGAAGGCGCAATAATAGCCCCCCTTTTTGCTCATTTTCACCGACCCTTAAACGCCAGCCACACGTATATTATTGGCACTTTTACCCAACTAGCCAGCCATTATGTACAACAGCCGCATATCAACTAGTCCGCATTGCAGGCAAACTCCATTCGCACCACAATCCTCCATTCGTAGGAGACTCGACTGGGTGGTACCGGGTGGGTGGGGGTCGTCGAGTACTCGGCGGCATCCGGCAATGCCGAGGTGCAATAAAAAATGAGCTGCTAATCATTGGTGTGCGGGAGCGAGTTGCAAGGATGGACATGCGCAGCTGAATTGGCAAAAGAGTTGTTGTTCTGCAGCGAGATAATCTGCGGAGGCAATTTCGATTCCAATCTTACGTGTCTAGTATGACATTTTTTTTTTTTAATAAAGATACCGTTCTCCAAACCCCTCTATCCGCCCATTGTCTTCTCACCTTTTCTAACATTTCATCGGTTGGAGCTTAGTCAGATTTAGAGGCCGAGAGAGCGCTTTGTGAGGAATCATGATATTTATTACTCGACGACGACGCGTATCACAGGCTTTTTATTTTTTTATTCACAAGAATCTTATTTCCTCTCTCCTCTTTCCTCGTCGATTTAATCATCAGTGAGTGCGAAGAGGAGATCGGCGATCCAAAATAAATGCCTGAAAATGTAATTTCATTTTTGTCTCCAATATTATTATTATCATCGTCATCGTCATCATCGTCATCATCGTCATCATCGTCATCATCGTCATCATCGTCATCATCGTCATCATCGTCATCATCGTCATCATCGTCATCATCGTCATCATCGTCATCATCGTCATCATCGTCATCATCGTCATCATCGTCATCATCGTCATCATCGTCATCATCGTCATCATCGTCATCATCGTCATCATCGTCATCATCGTCATCATCGTCATCATCGTCATCATCGTCATCATCGTCATCATCGTCATCATCGTCATCATCGTCATCATCGTCATCATCGTCATCATCGTCATCATCGTCATCATCGTCATCATCGTCATCATCGTCATCATCGTCATCATCGTCATCATCGTCATCATCGTCATCATCGTCATCATCGTCATCATCGTCATCATCGTCATCATCGTCATCATCGTCATCATCGTCATCATCGTCATCATCGTCATCATCGTCATCATCGTCATCATCGTCATCATCGTCATCATCGTCATCATCGTCATCATCGTCATCATCGTCATCATCGTCATCATCGTCTACATCGTCATCATCGTCATCATCGTCATCATCGTCATCATCGTTGTTGTTGTTGTAATATTTAATTTATATTGATTATTATTGTGATATTATTTCTAATGATCAGCGGTAAAACATAATTCATAAATCGAGCGTTAAGAGGCTGGAAATTATGTAAATGTTATATTAATTATATATTCGTGTATTAGAGGTAACATTTGGCCGTTGGATCGCCGACATCTATAATTTAAAAATATAAAAATATCCATCCCATTAATCCCATCCGTCCAATTAATTCCTAGCCATAAAAGAACACGATTTATTAACAATTTACAAACGCGTTATCTCTAACAAGTAAATACAATTTTAATTGTTTCCAAATATTCGAGGCCCATTGATTTTGCTTTTGAATTTCTCCTGCAACGACGGAGCTTCAAAACGTGACGTTCCATCATACGACTTTGACTACGACATTGTCGACTCTATTGGTCAGTTACGTCAAAATCTCGGCCCGTTTGCCTTATCTTCTACCCTCGCGTAAAACACTGTAATTTTTCTACTTTGTGGAAGTCCTGTGTGGATGAGTGGAGATTGATTGATTGCGGTTAGGTTGCATCAGGACTTTGTTAGTTTTTACTTGAAAGATTAATACGACACGATATTTTGAAATATCTGTGAGTAATTTTTCATAAAGACAAATAATGTCAGGACGAAGTCAACAGACGCGACGAGTGCAGGAGATGGATCCACGGATTAATTACGTACAGTGTGATGGCTTGGTGGTTATGAAGATGGTTAAACATTGTCATGAGGAAGCATCGAGTAACATGGAAGTAGCGCAAGGAGCTCTCCTTGGTTTAAACGTGCAAGGTCGCCTTGAGATTACCAACTGCTTTCCATTTTCTAAAAATGATGATGTTGTTGATGAAGAGGACTATCAATTAAGTATGATGCGAAGATTGCGTATGTACGTTGATATTTTATTATTCTTGCCTTTTAATTAAATTACTGCACTTTAATCATCAAGGAGGTCATTCGATTATATGTTTGATAACGAATTTAGCAATTAATGCATCATTGACTCCAGTATCACGATTAAGCATATAATACTCAAAAATGTTATAATAAATCTGGACGACTTTGGATTTAACTATACTCGATCCTGTTATCTATAGAAACGCGTATCCATGTACATATGTTTATATATAAAAATTAAATACCGAGAAAATATGTTTGAATGAGTCAATTTGAGAATTGAACATATGTTATTGAGAAAGTTCCGACTAGATTAGATAGTTAAATTTTGAAACCATGTTACATTTATTTATTATTGCATTGGGTATTTTGTCCCTTTGCATCGCGTACTGTTTGAAAAATCATTACAAAACTTTTTTTTCACATTGCGCCTGCTGCTGCTGCTGCTGCTGCTGCTGCTGCTGCTGCTGCTGCTGCTGCTGCTGCTGCTGCTGCTGCTGCTGCTGCTGCTGCTGCTGCTGCTGCTGCTGCTGCTGCTGCTGCTGCTGCTGCTGCTGCTGCTGCTGCTGCTGCTGCTGCTGCTGCTGCTGCTGCTGCTGCTGCTGCTGCTGCTGCTGCTGCTGCTGCTGCTGCTGCTGCTGCTGCTGCTGCTGCTGCTGCTGCTGCTGCTGCTGCTGCTGCTGCTGCTGCTGCTGCTGCTGCTGCTGCTGCTGCTGCTGCTGCTGCTGCTGCTGCTGCTGCTGCTGCTGCTGCTGCTGCTGCTGCTGCTGCTGCTGCTGCTGCTGCTGCTGCTGCTGCTACTGCTTCATAAATATAGAATTATTTTCAATTTCAGCGTTAACGTAGATCATTTCCATGTTGGATGGTATCAAAGTGCTGACGTTGGTAATTTTTTAAGTCTGCCATTGTTGGAATCTCAATATCATTATCAAACATCTATAGAAGAGTCGGTCGTTATTATTTATGATACAGCAAAATCAGCCAGAGGTTTCTTAACTCTTAAAGCTTATCGTTTGACTCCGCAAGCTATACAGATGTACAAAGATGGTGAATTTACATCCGAGGCACTTAAAAATTTAAAAGTTGGCTATGAAGATTTGTTCGTTGAACTTCCTATTGTAGTTAGAAATAGTGCTTTAACAAATATCGTTATGTCAGAACTCGAAGAAATGATTCCAGAAGAAGAAGGAACTAAATATTTGGACTTGGGAACTGCAACTGTATTAGAGAATCAACTGCGTTGTATGATGGATAGAGTAGATGAATTAAATCAGGAAGCTATTAAGTTCAATCGTTATCAGAGTATGGTTATTCGTCAGCAACAAGATAAAAACAGACTATTGCAGAAGAGGGCTCAAGAGAATGCTGCTCGTGCTGCTAAAGATGAGCCGCCGTTACCCGAAGAAGATATCAATAAACTCATTAGACCGATACCAGTACCACTGAGATTGAGTCCAATGATAACCGCCGGACAAATCAATACATACAGTCAACACGTTTCTCAATTCTGTGCCCAAAGCTTAGCTAAACTGTATATTACTCAGAGTCTTCAAAACGCTAAGGAAGCAAAAGCATCTATTCGATAAACATAAAAAAGCATGCTCTGTCAATAAAATTTATCTAAATGAGAAATTTAATTAAAAAATTGATAATAAAAAGTAATTTTCATGTTTTTTGTGTGTATATTAATGTACCATCTAATAATTCCTCGATTGAGAAATGTATGAATTTGTCATAAAAATAAATATTACTTGTTTAAATTAATTTTTCATGCTCAAATAATCCAAATACTTTTAACGTATCTCCTATAAAATCAACTTTAATTCCTATTACTTTGCGTGGTGCATTTTCAATATTTACACTTAAATATGCTTGGAAATGGTCAGTGAATGCCATCGCAGGTGAAACAACATCAAAATATTTTAATAAACATAACCTAACAATGATCAAATTTAAAAAGGAATATTTATTTTGTCGACTTTGATGACAAGTTTATGCGGTTTTAAGGCAGAATATCATTGTTAATTAACAATTTTCTTAAAAATGGATTATGACGATCGCCATCGAACATTTTTACAAGCAGTAATACAAAGCGGTGTAATATTAGACCAGGACGCGGTGGTATTATGTGTGAAAATTTTCGGTGAGCCAATTTCAAATAAATTTTGCTCCATGAAATAGAATTTATAATTTGTTTAACCTAATAATGGCAACACTTGTTAAATAATATTAGCCTTATATTTATCTATTTATCAATTTTATTATAACTTTATGCGACAAATGTTTAATTATTTTATTTGAAAATATCAATAGTTCTGCAATAGCTGTAGTATGGTTTTTTTCTGTTACAGATGAAAAAATAGATATTTCAGCGATTGCAGCACGTATAAATGATAAGTTAGAACGATTGGCTATGTCGATGAAAGCTGGAATATGCGAATTGACTGGAAACAAATATTGGTCAGTAGTTAGTACAACGCACGAAGAAACAGTCAAGTAACGTCAAGCCCTTTTTAAATCTAATTTTTCTTATTTTAATTATACGCTCGTATAATTTACATTTTATTTTAGAATTCCAACAGAGTTAACGCAATCCCAAAAGATGTTCCTTCGATCGATATATTCTGAAATAATTGGTGGAGACGGTTGCATTTCAAGTACATCTTGTCTCAATCTTTGTAATTCTCTGGAAACAAAATTTTCAATGATAGAGGCCGACCGATTTCTCAAGCATTTAATTAAACAAAAATGGCTATACTGTAAGGTAGTAATTTAAGAAAACTTAAATTGTACGCTAATTCAATGTGAATATTCAAATAAGACAAGATAATTTGATTCTCGTTTCAGGATGGCAATATTTATATGGGAGTTAGAAGTATTATAGAGCTTATGCCGTATTTTAGAGCGACTTATCAAGATAATTTCCACAACTGCTTCTTATGTAGGGAAGTTGTTTTTCACGTAAGAAAATTTAAGTTTTCTTTCTCCCTTAATGAGAAATTTTAAATCCTCTAAAAGTTATTGAAATGAAAAACAAATATAACACGATTAATTATATCGTAGGGCCACAAATGTGATAACTGCGACGAGATGTGCCATTATTATTGTTTAATTGAATATGCGAAAAATCGAAATATACGCAAATGTCCACAATGTAAACACAATTTAGACATAAGTTGCATAACAGGTAATCGGTATTATTACATACTGCATCAGTGATTCGTATTGTAATTTATATTTCATTGTAGATGAAGCAAGTGCCGTTCAAATTATGCACGACGACGCTAACGACGAGCACATGGATATTGCAGAAGACACAAACTCCTCGTAAAAAAACTCTGAATTAAAAGAAAGATGCATCAAAAACATAATGCAGGACATAATAATTTTACGAAATTTTTATTTATATATACATGTATGTTGATATATAAGGATAATCGAAAGATTAAAGATATTAAGATTTCAAATATATAATTCGATATTTTATACATAAACTAGCGAGTAACAATCCAGCGTTGTTTCATTCTTTAATAACAAATACGACTTCAAAATATTTTCACCATTCCAGCACACCTGGAATATACTTTTCTATAAGCTGTTCGTAGTATGCCCAAAGTTTATCGATGTCAGGAACCTCGTCATTCTTTGTATACAAATCATATTTACTGCCATACATAAAAGAAAATTTATAATAAATCATAGATTCTTAAACGTCAAATACTGCTTGACTTTTCATTTAATAGATCGATATCTTAATATCTTACTTGAACATCAGAATATAATCCAACATGTCGATATCGTCTTTGGTGCAGAAATACATATAATCACCACCGGCGTGCCATGGATAAAATGAGTGATAACGTACGATAGCTAAAGCGCAGTTTGGTAATGTGCTCTTATTGTGCTTTAATACTTGATAGAGATACTCGTCATGACCCCATGACATAAGTAGATTTTCCAATCCACACTTTGGTTTATACATGCCAAATTTGGTACTAAAATTATCGAAACATAATATTTGAATGTAGATTTTAATATGCCCCTTAATTTCAAGCAATATTGTAAATTAATATTATTTATGAATTGTTAATGTACATTTGTTAATTTTTATTTGACATTCTTTTGTAATATTTTGAGCTTTGGTTAAATTTAAAGAATATTTTTATCGTGGGTACTAAAGTCTTTGTATTTTTCTAGATATCTGCATGTATTATTGATGAAATTTATGTGTGAAAAAAAAAAATATATATATATTATAATATAGAATCAAAAAGAATTTTATAAAAACTTTTATAAATTACTAATGATTAAACTACATAGAATGTTGAAAAATGTACGATGGCTTTGTTATAAATCATTGGCTATTGTTTAAGCAGCTGACGAGCAGCTCTATTGCAGATATTTCCTGGTGGTGGGAAAACATCGATTCGTTATTACAAATTAGATACTTGATTGTCAATCTCATCATTGAGAATTAAGAGTCAAGCTTGTAACGTAAGAAAGTTTTTCCATCAATTTTATTGTCAATTTAGTGGGTAAAATTATGCTTTAAAGAAATTTTACTTGTAACGAGGATCTTCTCCATCGGGATTATTAATAAAACTTGTATCCCGATATACGATTGAATTTGCCCAATCGCAGCCCACAGGAAAAGTATCACCAACAACTGCCCATTGAGGCTCTCCATAAAGTGCCATTACCTATAATTAAAGAGCAAATAATG